ACTTCCTGACAGTGAGAACAATTAACCAGTGGAACAACCTGCCCCCAGAAGCGGTGAATGCTCCAACACTGGAAGTTTTTAAGAAGAGACTGGACAGCCATTTGTCCGAAATGGTATAGGGTTTCCTGCCTGAGCAGGGGGTTGGACTAGATGACCTTCAAGGTCCCTTCCAACTTTACTATTATTATTATTATTATTAAGTGGAGCATGGCGCGCGAGCACAAGCGCCCTCCGTTCGCGCGAGTGGAGCTTTGCGTGTGAGTGGAAGTGCCTGCCTTTTGTGTGAGTGGAGCTTCGTGCATGAGTGTAAGCACCCTCTGCTCACATGTGAAGCTCCATTCGTGTGAGTGGGGGTGCACGTGCATGCCGCTTGCACAAATGGAGCTGTGGGGGCGCACGTGTGCCTGCCATTTCCCTCCCCCCCCCCGTGCCATGCCAAGGTGGGGATTGCTGATCTACAGCATACAGTGTAAAGACTGTAACAACAACTACATGGGACAAACAGGCAGGAGACTAGCAGAGCGCAACCGTGAATACCAACTTGCAATCAGAAGATATGTTGCAAAGTCTTTAATTGCACAACACATGGACAGAATTTTTTTTTTTTTTTACAAATTTTTATTAATTTTTCAAATAAACATATGAACAAATAATACAAATATGGTGCATTTCATTAGAAAAACAAACACATAAAAAGCCTACTCAGTAAGTATTCAGAAATAATCGGCGGTTCCCCCCCCCCTGCATCCACACTCCCTCAACCTTCCTACCTACTTCCCTCTCCCTTCCTCCCCCTCTTAACCACCACCTCTCCTCTTTCCTCCTTTCCAACTATCCTACACATCCCATCACCTTCTTTTCCACCACCTCGGATGCAGTTTGGGGGTACTAGCCGATCATCTCCTCTTCTTAAAGACAAACATTTACATTATATTTATAAATACACCAAATTTTATATAATTCTACCCCTTCAGCCCCTTCCCCCCTCCCTCCCCGGACTTCCCAGAACTGAGTACAGGGATAAATACATAACATCCCAAGTCTAAATTAAGCTATCCATTCATAATACAAACAAAATTAACATACTTTAACTCTGACATACAATAATAAACTTGACTATAATATATATATATAAATTATATTAAATATATAAGAAATATTAGAAAAGAAAAATATTTATTCAAAAGCTGTATGATAATTATCAACACATGGACAGAATTAACCATAGTTTCAACTGGGGAACTGTGAACATCCTAGATCATGCCAAGTTCAAAAATGTTAGAGAATTCCTGGAAGCCCGGCATTCAGGCAAATCGGCCACCAACAGGCACATAGACATGAACATCTATATACCTTTCAAAAGAATTGATTGAGGAGGACAGCTCATTTTTCCGATTCTCTTTTCTTCCAATTCCCCAGGGGTTTGGGGGAGGTGGGGTGGAGGAAGACCTAATCCTCATAATTTCAGAATTGATTTTACGATGTGGTATACAACCACCTTCCCAGAATGCTTGTGCTTTCAAAAATTGCTGCCCAGTTTTAGGCATGTGTGTGTTTTAATGTGACAGACGTCGGAATGTCTATGGAGATTCTCAGTCATCCAGGTCATGGCTGTCCCAAAGATGCTTTTCCAAAAGGCAACTGGACTTAAAACACACGCATGCTTAAAACATTTTCTTTGAAAATGTTTCTCTTCTCACCCATGAACCTTCTTCAGTTCTAACTGATCATCTGTGAGGGAAACACCTTCTGCTTGTGGCCTTGAAAAGCCCCCACTAGATAGAAATTCAGTCTGAAATCTCCTTGTGTTTCAAAGCCAGACTCCAGCCTATCAATCAAAGCGATTTTTCTTTTCTTTTCATTTTTCTTAGCTTGCATAATTTTTCTTTTTCATTTAAGAACACAAGGCCAGTTCAATGTATGATCATCCTTGAGTTTTCCACAACTTATTCCTCTTGGCTCACTTGTTTTGCTGTAAGCACATGAGTTGGGAATTACTCTTCGATTTTGTCCTCTAATTTTTTATTTTTTATTTTTTTGTCTTCAGGAAAATCCAATCTTGGGGCTTCTCCCAAACTGGCGGTACGCAGCATAGAAGGTATGGTGAATGTGAGAAAAAACAGAAACGATTATCTCGGTGAGTCAAGAAAATGCTTGATTTTTCAAAAGAATGAATTGTGTTACTTTGCGATAGCAACCTTCCCCTCAAGAACCTTATTTTCCCACAGCAGACTGAACCTCTGTATAACTACTGCTCAGTTGAAAACCCACTACTGGCAATCCTCGACATATGACCGTAATGGAGCTTGGCCATTATGGTCCTATCTCACGAGAATCCTAAAATGAGTCGGTCACATGACTGACTCAATTTTATGACCTTTTTTGCAGTAGTCGTAAAGCAGATGCCATGGTCATTATGCAAAAGCTGTGGTTCTTAAGTGAAGAAATGGTTCACTTTTGGTTTTGCCAAAAACTAGAAGTGCCAGCTTTGGGCAAAATTGTTGTAAAATGTGGTCACGTGAATGCAGGACTTTGTAAAGGGCTGTATATGTAATCATATTGCCCAGTGCCCAAAGTTTTGTCACCTGACTGTGGAGTGGGTGCGACTGTCAGAATTTTGAATCTGGGTCATAAGCCCCCTGTTTTGGTCAGTCATAACTCTGGTCATAAGTAGAGGACTACCTGTATAGCTTAGCTGTTGCGGCCTAGAGTTCACCGCAGAAAGCAAAATAAATGTATTAACCTTTATGAAGCCACAAGACTTAATTTTCTCCAATTGTTATGAGACGATCCTCAATAAATCACTTTTTTCTCCTCTTGAAATGCTTTTTTTCCCAGGTTACCTCTAATATCTGGACTTCTTTGCTTCTCTCAAATTGCTTCTTCTAGATCAGGCATGTCAAACTGCCGGCCCACAGGCTGTATGCGTCACGCCAAAACTGCACCCACCCCATTGCCGGCAATGGGGAAAAAGTCATGCTACATCGCGCAACGCCACGTGACGTCGCAAGTCTGCCTGTTCTAGATAAACCAAACATCTTTTCCTCACCCTGACCCCACTCACTTCCTCAACCTCTCACAAAATCCAAGTGTCATGAAAAGCTGAGGTCAGCTTCACTGTGAAGCATCACTTTCTCAGTTCTGCAGAAAAGCTTTACTTTCACTTTCACTTTCCACTGTCAGGGGAGGGTTGTAGCTCGGGGTCCAACCCATGGTAAATGCTCTCCAAAATATACAAGATTTTATTTATTTATTGTCAAGGAATTGCATAGCAGGTGTCCAAATGAAGTCATAGATAGACGCTGTCACGGACGTGTAGTTTTATATAAATAAATATATTTAACATCCATCTTTACATCAGTCAAGATAGCCAGGCAAACAGGAGCATTGTGAGGTAAATCACAAAGCGTACACTCCGTACAGGGCTCACAGAAGAAAAAGGTGGGGGAAAAAGGGAAACGCCCCCTTTACACCCAGCAACCAATCAAAACGTAGATTGCCTCATGCAGGAGCCCATACACTCCAATCAATCAACTACCACTGTGCGTGTTTTAGCCCATTATCCACTTTACTGTTCCAGCTATTGTTAAATGAAATATTTCAACATTCTTTATTTTATTATTTTATATTTATTTTTATTTATTTATTTTTGCCAACTCTTTTCTAAAACTCAGGAGATGTGCTGCCCATTAGGGCCAATAGGGAAGTAAGTAATTTAGCAGCTCATCTATGACTAACATACTAGAAGAAGCAACTCAGATAAAGAGGCTGCCCAAATAGAGCAATACTACTACTACTACTACTACTACTACTACTACTACTACTACTACTACTACTAATAATAATAATAATAATAATAATAATAATAATAATAATAATAATAATAATAATAATGATAAAGTTGGAAGGGACCTTGGAGGTCATCTAGTCCAACCCCCTGCTCAGGCAGGAAACCCTATACCATTTCGGACAAATGGCTGTCCAGTTTCTTCTTAAAGAGATAAAGCTGTTGCTGGAAAACAGCAGGAACAATTGTTAAAAAGCCAGGCCAGTACTTCATGCAGCAATAATTGAAAATAGAAAATGCAATCACTCCTGCGTCTCTCCAGGAAAAGTCATTTCAGTTAAAGTATTTTCCTGAGCAACTCACAGAGAAAAGTAATAACATTTTAGGTCACTGCAAATGTTCTCGGAGGTCTTAAAATATAGTATAAAACCCCTGCTGGATTCATCACAGGTTTGCTGGAAATCTCCTGTCTGCTTAGTTTCCCTCAAAATGAATTCGAAAGGGTCAAGCTCTTATTTTTCTTATTTCTTATGGCTTTCAGTGCATCCAGCCCATTCACCCTTGAATTTCACTGCTATTTAACTGGCTTGATAAAACTGAAAGAATCCCTTGATAAGATTTGGGGACTGTCCTGTCTTCTCTTCCAGAATGTTCCAGGCTACCATACGTCCTGTTGAGGGGTCCTTGGTTGTTTTCTTGCAGACATTTCTTTACCCAACTAGGTAACATCATCAGTGCATGTCCTGTTGTTGTTTCGTTCAGATATCTATGTTTTTGGCATTGGGAACCTCAACGTTGACTTGACTGCCATGAATGAGATTGCATCAAAGAAGTCAGGGGAAAGGCATGTCTTTGTGATGGAAAATCCACAGGAGCTCAAGAAAGCTTTTGAAGATTTGTTGGGTATGTAGGATCTATCTTATTTACCAGGGATGGGGATGCAAGGGGCAAAGGGCAAAGGGTTGGTGCATCTACCCAATATTCAGCACCTTGTGCCAACTGTGGGAGTATATACATGCTGCCCATCTCACCTAGAGGCAACTTCACGAGGCGTACAGCAAAGTAAAAACAAGATAAAATATTACAATATTAAGATAATCAACATTAACATTAAAATTCAGTTCTAACTTCAAATGATCGCTAAATGAATAGTTGTAAGTTGAGGACTGAAGAGCCACAGTGGCGCGGTGGTTAGAATGCAGGATTGCAGGCTAATTCTGCCTGCTGCTAGTAGTTCAGTTCTGACAAGGTTGACTCAGCC